GATCTATAGGGATAGATCACGGAAGCTATTGGGTCTCAATCAAAGTACATACATAGACAAAGTCCTCGCTAGATTTAGCATGTCTAAATCCAATTGAGGAAGTTTGCCTATGGTCCAAGGCACGAGTCTTTCCAAGACTCAGAGTGTTTCCACTCCAAAGGAAGTAGAACGCATGAGAAATGTTCCTCATGTGTCGCCCATTAGATCCATCATGTATGCGATGGTATGTACGAGACCTGTTGTCGCCTTTGCTCTGAGTGTCACGAGTAGATACCAGTCCTCCCCCGGCGAAAGCCATTGGACGACTGTGAAGAACATCTTTAAATACTTTCGTAGGACTAATAATATCTTCCTGGTATATGGCGGAAAGGAAGAGCTCATTATTGTCGAATATACTGATGCCAGCTTCCAGACTCATAGAGACGACTTCAAGTCGCAGGCAGGGTATGTGTTTTGTTTGAATGGTGGAGCTGTTACCTGGAAGAGTTACAAACAAGATACTATCGCTGATTCCACTACAGAAACAGAGTACATGGCTGCAGCCGACGCAGCCAAGGAAGGTGTGTGGTTCCTAGCAATTGCACAAGCAAAAGAACCTGGGTCTCACCAGAAAGCAAAACACATCGTCAGACGTTATCACATCACACGAGAAATCGTTGCACGTGGGGACGTTGAGATTTGCAAGATAGGTACAGGCGACAATATCGCGGATCTGTTGACGAAGGATTTAAGAAAGCCTAAACACGAGAGTCATATGTGGTCCATGGGCGTTCGACAAATGCTTAATGGCCTTAGGGAAAATGAGAGATTGTTGTATTTAGGTGCCCTAGAGGCAATCAAAAACGTATGTAACTGTACACTTTATCATGGATGAAAGGCCTTGAAGTATGTTTTATAACTCGTGTAACATAACATCGCTTCAGTCCATAGACGATAGCGCTTCAGTAACACAGATGAGGACTACAATATTATGATTATGAGACTGTTACTTCTTGACAAAGGCTATGTCTAGAATATCCCTAGTCGCACTTTATGATAATACGGACATCATAACGTATCAAGACTAGTACGTACGAGATGAGATAGTTGCGTCTCACAGACTATAGGTATTGTGATATCTTAATCTGTACGTAGGTGCATATTATATCGATAATATGTGACTGGATTGACCCATCTTGAGAATAATACATGGATCTACAATAATGTGTTTATCAGTATTCTTAATTCGACCTTTCTATAACTATCCTCAGACTTGAAGCTATTACATTCTCAGATATGTGCGGCCGTATGCTTTGATTCATAACTAATGATATCTGAAATACTGGTAGACGTACAGTTATGCGTTGAGTATGCCGCTAAGTATATTGAGAGACGTCAATAACAGATATAAGATCTGTTCCTTTTATAATATAGAAATATAATGTCAATGGGCCCACCGAATAGTAGGACTTGGGAAAGTGTGTGGCGATGCTCAGATATGTCGCTATCCAGAGGCTGATAAATATCTGATCCTTTCCAGTCTACTTGAGATTCACTACCAGCTGATTTAACTATACAAGGATACACATCCCATGCCTTGTGTTAAATCATGATATTTATCTAGGGGGTAGTAATGTGTTGCTAGATACTGCTTATTATCTATGGTATTAATTTGTTATAATATCTTTGCCAATATTATAGATACCTAAAGGGCCACACACTTAGGACTTGTAAGGGAGTAGTATACTACACTAGTGGAAGTAATATTATGTAACACCCCAAAACCCGGCTTAGTATTTTAATTAATATATAATATTTAGATTATTAAAGAGCCGGTCAATATGAAGATTATTTTCTAATTTGCCTAATTTAATGGGGGTTTATCCTTTGTTGTAGAGCTCGCTGCTCTGAACCCGATCGCACAAACGGATCATGAATCGGGCTTATTGGGTCTAAGATACAATTGACGAATCAGGTAATTGGGGTTAAAATTATCCAAACTGGTTAGGTAGTGTAAACGCCGACCGCCTCCGTCTCTCTCTCTCTCTCTCTCTCGCTACTGTTCCGGTTCGTGTGCGCTATGCTGATGAGGAGCAACGTCAAACAACCCTTCCTATCTAAGATCCGATTTCTTTAACTTTTGAGGTGATTCATCGTTTCTATACCTTCCGTTAACGTTAATTCGTAGATTAGAACTTCCTTAATGTATAATTTGTAATTGATTGTGAATTTGATTGTCAATTGATGAAATTGGTTGGGTTTGAAGTAATTGGGCGTTGAACCGCCGGATTTCGGTGAGACGCCGGCGGCGGACATCGGCAGTCCGGTCAGGGCTCCGATAGTGGCTTGGGTTGGCTGTGTGGATCCAATTGGGTCCAATTAACTCCAATTGGATTCAATTTGGGTCTAATTGGGTTCAATCGGGTCCGTTTGGGTGCAATTGGGTGTAAACGGGTCTGTTTGGACTCAAATTGATGCAATTGGGTCTGTTTGTGGTTGTTCGGGTTGCTGTGAATCACCTAATAGGGCTGTTTGGTCGCGCTGCAGGCCCGGGCAGCCGGGTTGGCTACCGGGAGTTGTGCTAGGTTGGTCCGGTGACGATGGGGACTGCTCCGGCGAGGGCAGCGGGCTTGTGGATTGATTCCTTGGGCTCGATTCCGCGCGGTTAAGTTGGGTTAATTGTAATTGGGGTTTGTTGATTATGCATGATGGTAATCGTGGGTCTTCGGCCCGGATAAGCGGCTACGTGATTTGTTGTGAATTGTGAACTGAGATTTAAATTAAATTGATCTTATTGGTGAAAGTTGTGGATTATGAATAATATATGGGAAATAGGCCACCTAGTATAATTAGGCGGACCTGAAAAAAATTTTGGTTTAGTTTTAAACTCTCACGGATGAATTTATAATTTTTTCAGTTGGTTATTTTTTAAAAAAATTATGCATGCGAATACCAATTTAGTAACAACTCGGTTCGCTAACCCGTTGGTTTGGGTTACGCGGGTTGGGGTGTTACATATTAAATATATAGTTGTGATAATTTTATATATACATATTTGTATTTCGAAAATACAAATATGTATTTGTGTCATTTTAATTATATGATAATTATATTTTGACAAAACAAATATTTTATATATATATATATATATGTATATGTATATATATATGTATATGTATATATATATGTATATATATATATATATATATATATGTATATATATATAAAATGAATTAGGGCATCTCCCTCCCATCGTGTTCTATTTTGTGATTTTTGCAGCAATGTTTCTTCCAATCATCCCTCTAAACCAATATGATACACACAACAAATATTATTTTATACACACACACACACACATATATATAATGCCGAGCTTTTTTTTTTTTATTTTCATCATTTTAATTCTATGATAATTATTGATGTTAAAATAAAATATGATGTACAATTTTTTGTGCATAAAATCCAAGACCATTTTGATTTTATACATAAAGTATTTTTTAATGTCAAATTGATATATTTGATTATAATTTGTTGTAGAGATTCTATCGTGTTTTGTTATGGTGGTTAGAGACATTATATTTTGATAGCCTCATTATCACACCTTAATGTCTCAAGGAAGCTGATGGACAATAAATCCACCAAATGATCCGGTTTACAGAGCGGATCGTAAGAACGAAGATAAGAACAAGAATTCGAGAATTGGATGTGCATTACCAGCTTGATTTAGCTTGAGTTCTCCCCTTTCGGGTCCCCTCTATTTATACATGAGCTCTAAACAATTAAGGTAATGCATAACCGATGGAGTCTATCCCGCCAAGGGCGCGATCCCCTGTTCCCGGCTCCGTAACGGCCAATCAGCTCCGTCTCCTTCTCCGGATTGACTCTGCCAGCTGCGCTTGGCCTGAGGTTAACTAGGCCCAGCTCCTTGGGCCGGCCCAGCTTGAGTATTTCACAGGTGTTTGACCCGAAGCTGTTTAAATGGTTCATTTGGGCCGTCCTCTGGATATCGGCCCATCATAAGCCCCCCAACTCCTCAGTCCTCAGCTGGGCCAAGCGGAGGAGTGGGGAGTTTGCAAAGTCCACGTGGACGCTCCAGCGGGGATCCGGGCCGTTCCTTGGGTTCCGCACGACACTTGGGCACGATCTCCACAAATAAGTAATCATGGTCTGCCGATTCGCCTTCTTGTTGTCAGTTAAAAACCGCCGCTGGACGCCATCTCTTTCTTTCGCCTTCTTCACTACCGTTCGTCTGCAACTCCGCTGCTCACCCGACTCGTTCTTCTTCCTGTCCAGGTCAGTTCCTTCTCTCGCCGCCATGATTGTCTCAGATTCCGATTTGGCTACCCCATCATCCAATTCTCGCCAAGCCGGTCAATCGGCCTCTGACCGTAACCCCGGCCACACTCCATCACCCTGGCCATCGCCGTCGGCCGTGCCTGGCCAAAAACGGTGTCGATTGAGGAAGCAATACCCTTCCTCAACTCCGGTAGATGAGGGCTCAAGGGTTGAATTGGACAAAAACATCATGGCGTTGTGCCATTGTCAAATTACTCACCGGGGGTTCGCCGATGCCACTGACATGGTTGGACCCTCCATCGAGGTCATGAGACCTACCAGTACTCAAACTGCTCTAGACGCACCGTCGGGGTTCTTCACGGTCCATCTGGCGTCTTTGAAGAAGGGGCTGCGCTTCCCACTCCACCCGTTGTTGATCGAATTCCTCAACGTGGTGGACCTTCTCCC